ATGAAGGCTGACGGCGAAGAGAAGGATGTCATTGTTTTCGAAGTTTATGTTGTTGTTGCTGTTGCTGTTGCTGTTGCTGTTGCTGTTGCTGTTGCTGTTGCTGTTGCTGTTGCTGCTGCTGCTGCTGGTGCTGCTGCTGCTGCTGCTGTTGCTGCTGCTGTTGCTGATGGTGGTGGTGGTGGTGGTGGTGGTGGTGGTCCTGCTGCTGCTGCTGCTGTTGCTGTTGCGGTTGCTGTCTGCTGCTGCTGCTGCTGTCAGGTCTCTTGTCTCTCACCTTTCTTCTGTTCCCTGGAGCGTAAAATCTCCAAAGTCACATCCTTGAGTCTTGTCTTCTCTTCTGCAAGTGCAAGCTTCAAGACGTCCGCCGCGTGGACAATGTGGCTGTTAGATGTGTAACGGTTGGTTGCAGCAAGGTTCTAAGTCTCGGATATGAGACTGGGCTGGTGGTTGGGGATGGTGGGCTGTCTGAGTTGGGACTGTGTTAACGCTCGGACCCGCCAAGTCTAGTGCAAGCAGGTCGTGAACGAATGCGACAGGTGCATGGCATGCTGCCGATAAGTGGCAGGTCAGGGGGATTCACAGCTTGCTTGGTCTCTTCTTGCAGATGGGCAGTTCTTTAAATTAAGGTCCCTTTTTAGGTCCCCAATATAGTCATATAGTACGGCACCCTTATGAACAAGGACCCCCCCAAAAGAAACCCTACTTTAGAGAACTTACCCAGATGGCCTGGGCCCTGCTCTTTTTTCCGTCCCTCCCTCCGCGTGGTCGCAGGATGTAGACAGAGGCGCCTTCTGCGGGCTCCTGTGCCAGGCCTCGAGCTTGCCGATTGGTTATGAGCCATGTTTCCTTTGCCAGAAGGTTCCCCCAAGTTAGTAGACAGTACATTAAAGCATATTATAGTTTATATATATATATAGAGTGTATACTGGTCCGTTGAGATTTTCATGTCTTGGCGTGTACTTGCTCGCATCAGGAGGAGTAGATTCTGGACGACCCGGGCACTGGGCTTCCACATACCCTCGAGTTATCCGTTGCGGTGCGGAATACCTGGAAAGCATGTTGTGAGGAAACGGCCAAGAGCCTGAGGGGGGGGAAGCTTGGGACTTTGCAGGTGGATGCGCAGTGCCCCAGTGGGGCGCAGTGCAAGATGATGAGTCAGGCCTGTGGGACTATGTGGGATCGGACTCAGGGCCAGGGATTTGTCAAATTCACCTCAAAGGGGTGCACAAGAGGCGACCTGCATATTTTTGACACTGTGCTCGGGCGTGGCCACTCCACTGCTGCAATCAGTACTGCTGTTCACAGCTTTTCTGCAGTGGCTTTCGGTACTTGTGCACCCTCTTGCCGAAACAAAGCTGTGCGAAGATGGGCGTCGGGCTCTGCATGTACGCGGCGTCCTTCACGGATTGGGCGCGGTCAGTGGGGCGCTCTTTGGGAAACGTCGCTGAAGAACGACAGTGACATGCCTTTGGTGAATGATGCTTCTCCAAGTGCGTGACCCCAAAAGCCCGAAGTGCATGTGTTGGGGTCAGTCGGCATGCGAAACATTGTCAGTTCCCTCGGTTTAGTGGCCGAGGGCAAAGCGGAGCTTTGTCAGCCCCTTTGAGCTTTGACCGAACATGTATCGCCTGACGTAAACCCCAGGCTGAAGTTTTGTAATCCCTAAGCCCTTAAGACCCCAAATCCTATAGACTTCACACCCCCGACGCCCCAAACCTCTCCAACATCTGTGTTTCGGAACCCACCCCAAGAAACTCCGAGGTCACTACCCGGAAGTTGGCCATCGGCTGGCCCAGCAAGGGGGGCCATCTCGCCAGACCCCTGGGTTTGGATTATTTTATTGTTTCGGTCAAGCTGGCGTTGGGAAATCTTAGGCTTGAGGGGATTGGGGCAGTGCGAGGTTTAAGATTTTTTGGTGTTGGGGGTTGACAAGTTAAGGGAGTTCAACAGTATATAGGAGTTTTGGCTAGTGCAGGAACACGTCCAAGGTTTTGTAGGCCAGGTTGAAGCACGCACCCGCATTCAGTCCGGCAAGTGTTAATAATGTCTTTGCGTTTCAGATTTCCCAAGTCTGTCCTGCAATAGCCTCCATACCCTCGATGGAACAGAAGCCGGACCTTGGACAGCGCATTTTAGCAAGCTTCTTGTACTCGTGAGGGTTGTCATCGACATTCGGTGGCAGCCACCCAGACGATAATAATAATAATAACAACAACAACAAATACAATAAATATAATAAGAATAAGAATAAGAGTAATAATAAGAATAAGAATACTAATAGCAACAATAATAACAACAATAATAATAGCAATAAGAATGATGATGTTTAATTGTTGCTATTATTTGACTAGATAGCTTCACTTTTGTTTTATCATCCTTTTGCCTTCGCCGCTTTTTCAGGCCAGTTTCCAGGTCGCCAAGACCTTTCAGGCATTGCAGGCCCACTTTTGGGAGACGCATGGACGAGAGAACGTGACTCCCTTCCCTTTGCCAGACCAGGGGCTTTGAAACAGGCCCTGACTCAGAGGGCGTCCCTCAACCACTCCTCATGGCAGAACTTGAAGACCAAGTACAGCATTGACGATGGCGATGTGGTCTCGCACTCGGAAGGTCAACAGACAGTCTAGAGCCAGACCCGTCTGCTGTGCGACGTGTTTTTCATCTGTCAGTTTCAATCTTGCTACATCTACTGTCTGAGGACATGCTCACACTGAAGGACTGCAGAATCTTCTTGTCGGGGGGCTCTTGTTGTGCGTGCTGCTCCTGTATACATGGCAGGGGCCAATTCGCCCAAGATGACAACATGCTAAGCCCGGTACAGGATCTAATGGAAGTGGGAAGGAGTCTTGGTGTTCACGTTTGTTTTTGTCCACCCTTCTATTACCCCTTCATTCGGGTCCCTTTCAGTCGGTACTCGTAGTTTGATGAGGCTGCGGAGAAGACTCTTGTCGCTGATGGGCTGTTTTTTTGAGCTACCCCATAAGCTTCTGCAACGATCCCAGGCAAGGCCTGAGAAGGGCGATTTTCAGTCGCAGATCTGTGGATTCGGGGCAATGCGTCTTGTGGGGGGGCTGCACATGAGGGGCTCTGAGTCCGAAGAATAATAGGGACAATGATAAGGAAGAGAACAAAAACAAGAATAATTCTACTTGGAGTAATAATGATCATAGCAATAATAAGAAGAACAATAATAACAATGAGAATATTCTTGATAATAATATTATTGATATAGTAATATCTGTTGTTATATTGTTATCAAGAATAGTACTAAGGCTAAGACTAAGACTATAAGACCAATACCAATGCGAGTTGGACAAACCTCATTCTGGAACGCAGATCTTGGTTTGCGCTTCAAGGATCGGACGTCTGGGTCAAGGGCTTTTGCAATTGGGGCGGTTGGTTCAGGAACTTCAGGTGGCTCTTCAATGCTTTGGGCACTGTCACCTGCGAGGAACTCTTGAATGCGGTAGCGCCCAATTCAGCTGCCACTGGCACTGCAGCCACGTGGCGGGCCCGGAGTGGATGCAGCCTGTATGTTGAATTGCAACAGAAGTGTTTCCTTTGTGACGTCCGGCATATCATCTGGGCATGGGACCCCACCTCTGAGTGCATCCGTTGCGAAGTCGAGTCTGCCGGCTGTTCAGCGGATGCTTTTCGTTTGCACCATTTTGCAGCATGACTTCCAGATGTGAGCTCGGCCTGCCGCAGTAGACGCCATAGTACTATAGCCCGGTTCTCAGGCCAGTGGTGTCGGGTGGCCGCCCCAGCTCCGAGCGGCAGACAGTGGACCTAAAGGACTTTTACATGAAAGCCCTCCTAGACTCTTATCGGGTTACGGAATCGCAGGATTCCGTGGTTTGTAGGGCTTCGGAGTCGTCCAATGAGATCTGTACGAAGATCGCTTGGTCGGATCAGGTGCGCAGACTTCGCAGACCGCGTCGGCGCCCGCCGCGGCGAACAGCTGGAGCACCGGCCTTACCTTTCGCTGCTTTGATACTCTAACATAATATAATATAATATGGTATAATATGATAGAATATAATATGATATAATATAATATAATACCTAGTCCACAGTGTGTCAAGCCTGGATTTTCTCCCGGTTTGAATCAGATTGCAGATTGGGAGAACAGGTTTAGTGGGACCAGACCTGCCTTGTCCGTCGGCATGTGGCAACATGTCATCTGCACAATCACATTCGACGGTTTGCTTCGGTGCGGCTGCCATGCGCTTCACGCCTCATGCTGGCTAAGACAGCACACCGCCCATGGGCAATGCACCCTGCGAATGCTCAGGGTTTTGACGGGGACAACAACGGCACACGCCGTGCCTCCACCATGTGGAGACCAGTCGTTAGTCATTGTAAACAAGTGTAAGCAAGAGAAGGAGGGCAGGAAAGCGGTGGAGACAACCAGTGCACACAAACTCATGCACAACTCGCCGCACACTCCACGCTCGGAGGGAACAAATGAAGAGTACCAGTGGAGCGCAAGACCGAAGACTCTCCATCAAGCCTGCTGTGCGCGAAACAGCAACTAAATTGATTCAAGTGCTTGGACGGACGAACGCACCGTCGGGCTCAGAGTAGCAGAAGCAAAGCTGCAGAATCCACCCTAAACCCTAAACCCTATTTCCCCTGCCTCTGGCACCGCCTCTCCAGGTCTGTCAAAGCAGATTCGAGGTGCCAGGTCCCCGAAGTTTGCCTCCACCGGGTTGTGTACGCACATATGTATGTATGTATATATATATATATAACATATATGTTTGTCTGTATATATATATATGTATATATTTATGGATATGTATATTTGCCTGGACTGGGATCGAAGGGGCAATTCTGCGTTGCAGCAAGAGACCCCAGTCGACTGCAAAGCGTTGTGCCGACTCGAAGAGCCCTCATAGATGAGTGCCCCAGGCCCGAAACTCTGCACTCGAAACCCTCAAAGGCCTTTGAGCGTTGAACCCTAGATCCTAAAGATACCCAAAGCTCACTGAAACCTTATCCCTGCCGCCATCAAGAATCCAAAGAAGCAGCTGTCCGGAAATCCCCCGAAAGCCCGAAGCCCAGGATGCGGGCGTGTGGGCCGGGGATCTGAACCGACTCGGAAGCGAGCTGAGCAGCGATCCCAGTTCCGCCGTAGCCCCCCTCTCTGAAGGCGTACGCAGCCTTGCAACCCCTAAACTAGGCCCTAACCCCGCACCCCTAAACCCTAAACCCTAAACTAGGCCCTAACCCTAAACCCCTAAACCCTAACTTGACATGCGGTTTTGGAAAAGAATTCAAAAGGCCGAGGTCAGTGTCTAAGGAGTGCACAGACGCGGTGATGGTGGGGATGTGAGGATGGGTTCGGGTGTAAAAGGAATATTCAGTGGTCGTAGTGGCTGTGCAGCAGTAGCAGGAGGAGGGCTACTACTTCTCGTGATCGCAGTAGCCCAAGTCGACAGAATCACAATAGTAGCCGCAGCAACGACATTGCCATTATTTTGTCCGCCATCGATGTCGTCGCTGTCGTCGCCGCCGACGTAGTTGCAGCATCGGCGGCTGCAGTAGGAGTAGAAGGAGGAGGCAGAAGAAGAGATAAGAACAATGAGTAGTAAGAGTGATCGTGATATTCGCCATGCAGCAGCAAGCAGAAAAATCCTCAACTCGCCCTAAGGCCAGGGCCTTCCCGGCATCGAGAGCCCTGAGCCCGGTCTGAGGTTTGGACTCTTGGGATTCTTTCTCTTTGGGCTCTGAATGTTCAGGGATGAGGTTCAAAGGTTCATAGGTCTGGGGTTTTGGGGGTTTAGGGTTAGGATTTTAGGGCATAGGGATTTCGGAGTTTAGAGTTTAGGGTTTAGGGGTTTAGGGGTTTCGGGTTTAGGGTTGTTGCCCTCCCTGTGTGGGTCCGAGGGGTTGAGGCTTTCAGGCTTTCGGATTTTGCCAGAGTCTAGCCTGACTTGCTGTGTGTAAGGCTCCTCGTTGGGGTCGAGGATGTGTGCCCTAAGCTCTAAACCCCAAACCAGCCACTTAAAGCTTGCGCAGATTGGCTTCCCCGCAGTTTTGGGTGGTTTTGCAGGCCTCAGTGACTCCATCCAGACCCAGGCGAGCTGAGCAACGATGTCTACTATGCCTGGGGCCTGTCTTGGCTCGCTGTCCGTTGCAATGCACCTGGCAGGTTCCACCCAAATGAATCCCCAGAGAAACCCTAGAGCCTTAGACCCTCAACTTCAACCCTAAACCCTAAACCCTCAACCCTAAACCCTGAACCCCTAAACCCTCAACTCTAAACCCTAAACCCTAGGCCCCCAACTTCTAAATTGTGTCGATCCCGGCCCAGGCGGAGCACCTCGGCCAGTTTGGCAGCGCCCAGGCCCTCTTAAGAGGTGGGTGCTGGGGTCCTGTCAGCGGGTTCGGCTAGGCTTAGGGTTTAGAGTTTAGGGGTTTAGGGGTTTAGGGGTTTAGGAGTTTAGGGTTTAGGGTTTAGGGTTTAGGGTTTAGGAGGCTGAGTTGCATGAGCAGGCTAAACACCTGGAATCAGAACTTTCAAGCCCAGCTCGACTGTGTTCTTCAGAATTTTTGTTGCAGTTGTCATCATCTTCGCGATCATCTACCTGCTGGTGGGCTCCTTCATCAAGCCCCCTGGCTTTCATACGAGTCCCATCACCGGTCCGCGGACGGTCATGTGCGAAGAGATGCAAGGTACCAGATGATGGCGGCCTCAGGTCCGGAACTCATATTGTGCTGCTGCAAGATTAGCGTCCCCTGTTCGGAGGCATCAACATCATACCCCACGTGGGATTCTGGCTCGAGTGCGCCCGGGAGTGGTCGGGGAGCTCCCCGTGGTAGCTGACAGCGAGAGTCTGCCCAAGCCTGCCTTCATGAGTCTTTGAAGAACAGCTGCTTGCAGTTACCCTCAGCTCGTCCTGGACGGGGTGACGTACTCCAGGATGCTTCTAGGCACGGATGGGGACGATAAGTAGCCCAAGCCTCCAAGCCGGATAGTGCCTATACGAAAGGCCAGTGAGGCAGTAGGGCGGCTCCCAGCCAGAGCAAGAACAAGCTTGCGCTGAAGCCTTCAACCCCAAGCATCGAAATTCCTCGCTCGGCTTTCGCACACGTTGTGTTTTACTACATTGACGAGTGAGAGTATGTCTGTGTATATGTGTGTGTGTGTGTGTTCGTGGCTGGAATCTCTTTGAAACGTCTCCCGGAGCATCTTCGGAACAGGCGTTGTCTGTTCTAGAAATTCTGCGCACGCATCCTTCCATCTCTCCATCCCTGCATCCCTCCATCCCTCCATGCGTGCATGTAGCGTTCCAAGACTGCACGGTTGAATGGTTGCATGCATGTATGCATGTATGCAACTTCCACCGTATCTGTCGTGCCTGTGGTCATCTTAGGCCATGCCTATACCTCCCTCGGACATCATGCTTTCGGCGTCAGCCTGCGTGTCCTGCCCCCCGCAGATGGTGCCATGGGCAAACCCGCGCGCCGCGACTTTGAGGAGCTCACGGGAGGCGAGAGCCGCAGAGGTTTTGCAAGGAAGCCTTCGGCCTTGGCTTCAGGCTTGGGAGACTCCATTCCAATTGCTAACCCTAGATCCCTAAACCCTAAACCCAGAAAGGTCCCATTTCAGTGACAGGGGCCTCTCGGACCCAGGTTCTCCCGCTGCCTCCGGCCCAAAACACATCCCGTCTAATGCAGCAGTCTGGAGAACTACTCGCAGTATTCCTTCGGGCTCCTTCTTATATCTACGCGATAGGCCTCAAGGGCCTGTTTTTTCCCCAAACAGCACACTCGGTTTACATAGTTAAGATTTTGCCGGGCTTAGAAAATCTGAACTGCAAGATGTCGATTACAGTGGAAGTTGGGCTGCTCAGCGGCAAGACCGCCACTGTGAAGGCAGGCTTGGATGAAGAAGTCGGAGCACTGCAACGCCGGGCACAGATCGCACTCGGAGTCGGCAGGGGGCGGCTGGTGGGCTCATCTGGAAGCGTTTTGGATGCATCTGCACAGATCAAGCATGCCAAGCTGGAGAACGGTGATGTACTAGTGTTGCAGATACACAGAAGCCAAGTTCAAGCCTGTCACGCAGCTTTTGCTGCCATTCTTGGCGATGGATCCGTCGTGACCTGGGGTTTGTTTTGTGATGGTGGTGACAGTAGTGCGGTGCAGGATCAGCTGAAGGACGTGCAGCAGATCCAAACCACTGCCCGTGCTTTTGCTGCCATTCTTGGCGATGCATCCATCGTGACCTGGGGTCGTGTTGATTTTGGTGGTGACAGTAGTGCGGTGCAGGATCAGCTGAAGAATGTGCAGCAGATCCAAGCCACTTCCCGTGCTTTTGCTGCCATTCTTGGTGATGGATCCGTCGTGACTTGGGGTTCTGCTTGTTGTGGTGATTTTGGTGCTGACAGTAGTTCCGTGCAAGATCAGCTGAAGAACGTGCAGCAGATCCAAGCCACTGCCGGTGCTTTTGCTGCCATTCTTGGCGAGGGATCCATCGTGACCTGGGGTCGTGTTGATTTTGGTGGTGACAGTAGTGCGGTGCAGGATCAGCTGAAGAACGTGCAGCAGATCCAAGCCTCTCTCGGCGGTTTTGCTGCCATTCTCGGCGATGGTTCCGTCGTGACCTGGGGTAGTGCTGATTTTGGTGGTGACAGTAGTTCCGTGCAAGATCAGCTGAAGAACGTGCAGCAGATCCAAGCCACTGCCGGTGCTTTTGCTGCCATTCTTGGCAATGGCTCCGTCGTGACCTGGGGTCGTGGTGGTGACAGGAGCGCCGTGCAGGATCAGCTAAAGAATGTCAAACAGATCAAGGCCAGTAGATATCCACAACCTGGTGGCACTGCTTTTGCTGCCATTCTTG